ATTAGTGACAAACTTTGGTGGTTTTTTGACAGGTTGCCTTCATTTTTGCTTCTACTTTTAATTTAAAATAAGTTTCCATTCTCAGCAGGTTTCTAAGGTTCTTCTTCTACGTATTAAAAAAGTTGTTAAACATCTGAGTGGTGCACTACTGCTACTAGTGGTGAGAAAGTGTATTGCAACTTATTCAAAATCAATGCGGCCCCGTGGCCCTCTGTGGCCCAAAGTTAAAAACCATTGTTCTTTTGAGGCCCTAAAGGTGGCGCTCTTGTGGGCCACGGCCCATAGGTTAAGAATCTCTGGTGTAGATCACACAAGGGATAAATCTTCATAATCCCTCCCACAGCACTCCCAGTGTAGCATTTAGCTAAACATGCAAACAATCACAGTGACAGCAGTATAGATAGTTTTTTTAACTTCAGGATGTGTTAGACATTTGAAGAGAGACTTATGTTGTTGGATAAGGAACTGGAGAAAACTCTACACTGTAATCCCAAACAGTTGTACTAGCTCATAACTAATAAGGTCACAACAGTCAAATGTCATTATGAAGTTGACCAAACTATAAAGTTTTGAGTTCTGTTGAGATTTTTGGCACTTTAACTGAATAGGGCTCAATATTTTACAGCTAATTTGTGTGGAACGCTCAAAAGGTTTAGGAACCATACAGTATTGTCATGACGTTCTGGTGGGTGGGTGGGTCTTTTCTCTCCCTCAGGTAAGATGAGTCAGCTGTCTTGAATTTGCCTTGATGTGGAGAAGTTTTGGTCAGCCTGTGAGGATATGGAAGATGGTTCAAACCACTACCTCAGGTTTTTTCATTAGTCTTATTGCCCTCTTTTTCTTAAGCGCCATCTTATCATCAGCCCTGATTTGGTAAGTTTATTTTTTAAAAACTGAATTTCGATAAATAGTCTTAAATTTGGAGCTGGCAGACATGTCACAGTTACATGATAAAGATTGCAGGAAGTAATCGAAACATGTCAAGGTAGTAACACACAGCACTGGTCCGATTAAAAAAAAGATTTTTACTAGTCGTCAGGCACGAGCTCAACTCAGAGTTCATTTACCTAACTCCAGGGTTCCTGTGGGTCTTTAAAAGGTCTTAGGTTTGATTTGAAAGATTTAAGRTCTTAAAAAATCTTCAATTTACTGAAAATGTAGCTTTAGGTATTAAATTTGAGGGTATTTTTAAGTACTGATTGATAAAAAGGAGATCGATGAAAATAAAGTTTGTCTCTGTTTACAGCGGATATGTAGTTTCACTTTGTTTTAGAAGTAAGCAAAAGAAAATAGTCCAACTTCTCTCCCTACACGCTGCAGAACAGATGTGCAACGATAAACAAAAACGGTAATAATTTTTTTGTCAAAACACCAAATTGCCCAAAATCATGTCTGCAATAGTTCTTTGAGGGATGTGGCACATTTTACATAATATAAACGCATTTCTTGGCCATGTGAGATGTCTTAAAACTTATTTGTTGAGGTCTTAAAAAGTCTTAAAAGTCACTTTAATTGTTTAGGAACCCTGTAACTCAGACCAGCTGTTCTGGAATTGAAAACTCTAGAGTTTCACTTCGCAAAGTATGTCAACTCAGAGTTCAGGGTTTGTTGAACCTTCTTTCTGGACTGTTTAGGAAGTTTACTGTTTATTCTGCAAACTGACATGTAGAAATTATAAATTAAAAGGTAAGTCTAAATTCCACTAAACAAAAAGTATGTTAAAGGCACAGTGTGTAGGATTTTGTCAATTCTTTTAGCCAAAATTGAGATAATCACTAATGACAATAATAAAAAAC